GTATTGCGTCGAGAACCTGAGCTAGAGCTGGACGAGAGTAGCTAGCTTTCTGCCCCCGTATTCCATAGCCACTGGCGACGAGCTAGAGGTACAAGACGGTACGTATCCGCAGTTGCTTTCCCAGTTGGTGCTCACCATTGAGAGGCGGCTGGCACGGCGAATGCAAAAGAGGGAAGAAGCAAGGGGATGATGGAAATTGACCACGCCAGCCAGTCGATCAGCCGGGGACCCGGCGCCACTTCAGAGGCCTTACATAGTAAGCCTGAGGCCAATCAGCCGGAGCCCAACCTTGATGTTGGAGGTCGGGAGCTTGGCACGGTGGAACTGACGCCACAAACCACCAGCGCCACCAAGTTCCGCCTGGCGATATCAAATGCCAGTTTGCTCGCTCGTCTTTGTGCATTCACAGCATGGCATGGCATAACATAGCATGAAGGGGCGGCCACAAATCCATGATGGTGTGTGCCTGCTGGTTTTGAATGTGCGTCTGCAGCCGCCAGAAAACGAGAAACCGTAGCAAACGCCCTTTAAGGCCGTTTATGCCGGGCCCGTGTGCCCGACTAATGGCAGCCTTGCTTGGATGTTCAGGTACCGGAGCACATATTTCCCATTCGGTACGCAGCGAGGTAGTCGGTACGGGCGGTACCTGGCTACCCTTGCATTGGGGGTGGTAGCTCCTCAATGTGGGCAGCTGCCGCATCAGCACCGTCGGCATCGGTGGATGCTTGGTGCCAGGGCCCAGGGGCAGAGAAGGCGAATGGAAGCATCCGAATGGTGGGGAGTGACATGAGGAGGAGTCGGTCGTCGGCGACCCAGCCTTCGGGACTCAGAAGAGACAGAGTACCGTAGCGTCCGTTGCAGAGCCATTGTAGTAGCCGCGATAGCAGCAGAACAACCGCGAAACGAGCTTGGTGTTCCCCGTTCACAGTGGCGACCGGGAACCGAGATGCTGGCATGGCTGGCGCGGACATGGAAACAAATCTCCTGTTGGTGTATCCGCGGGTATTGCATAGAATCTTGCCTGCGAATCCCATCTCGTCGCTGGGGGAAAACGTGGAAGTCCACCCTACAGGCTGGGACTGGCGCCGCAGTAATCGTGTTAGCGATTATGGTCACTCCCGCCGTTTCATGTCCCGCTAGCAGGCCCTAGATTAGACCTCAGACATGCCCGAGATCTCGAATGAACTTGTCCACAGTTTGTCACCTCGGAGGAAAAGAGAGAAAAATAAAAATCAAACGTCCTCAAGACCTTGAAGCGGAGCACATACTTTATTGGTACCCGCTACTTATTCTTGCCATCTCTTTTTCGCAATTCACGTTGCGACGTTGCCTGTGCCGCTGCAACCTTGGGCTCGGGGGCTGCGGAACGGCCCTGATGAGCCTTGCCTGCAGGTTTTCACTGGCCGTCGGAGGTGAATTGCAGTGAAAGATGACGGTGATGCTGTAGCGTGGGAAGTGGTGCCGGGGAGCGCGTCCGGGTCTGAGCCCATGGCAAATCCGCCTCTTGTCTCATCCTGCAAGAGGAGCGAGGTCAGGTCCGGCTCGTCATGAGCAGCAGATGTTTGAAGATCCAAAGTCCACCGCAGGTGCGGGACGTCACATACTGACATCAGCCGAAACGGTGGTCGCTGAAAGCCTCGGTGAATGGCACCAGCTGTTTTCCTTCGTCGTCGTCGACAGACGAAAGTCTGAGAAGGTAGCGACTTGCCAGAGGAGTCGCGTCACAGTAGACACGGGCATTACTGAGGAACAAGACAGTGACAAGAAAAACAGGCCTTAGAACTGGACCCAGGCCCGGTTGCTCCTTTGCACCACATCCCACGCCAACAAGGGCGTTGATTAGCATGCTGTTGGCGACGCGGAAGGCGGGAGAGCCCAGCATTCCCAGCTGCTTGGTGTTAACTTGATCACCCAGGGACCATGATGAAACACGGCGGGGAGGTTTGCGGGCAGCGGGAGGAGCAGTCAGTCTTCGTACCTGCCTTAGAGCGACGACGAGAGACTGGATGATGATGACATGCCATGACGAGGTTACCTTGGTCGGTCGGCAAGTCAGGTCGGATCAAGTCAAAGTTGAGTCAAGATAGGTGGGCAGGTCGGGTGCCTTCCATCGGGCACACACGATGGAAAGCGCTGCCGAAGGATTCCCACGGTAAGGTCGGTAGCTGCTCTCCCATCTAGCCTGAAGGGGCAATGAACTGCTGTGGACAGCAGCAGCTTCCAAGTTCTTGTGAGGTGCCGTGCTGCCAGCCAGTACCTTCCTCCGGTCCTCTGGGCCCGGGAAGGGCAGAGCAGGGATTAGGGAAGGTGCTTCCAAGCTCCTGCCATTTGAGAAGCCACCAACCACGCCCATCGCCTTCCTACGGTAGGGAGGTACGTATACAACGAACGAATATGTGACTTCACCAAGTCCAAAATGTCATTGAAGTTTGAGCCTGATGTCGCAGTGTAGCTGTGAAGTCAATCTCGTCTGTCCTCCAATCGAAGTCACAGGCCGCTCGCTTCATATGAGACGACTAGCCTCGCTTTCTTTTCTCCGAATGCCAGACGGCGACATGGACGCCACGAGCCGATGGGAAATTCCCCTGACCACGGGCAAAAGCAGAAACTGTATTTGCGGCCGAGGCAACGTGGGAATGGGTTCGCCAAGAAGAGGGTCGACTCCCAACCTCAGCAACAGGCAGGTGCAGTCGATTCGTCGAATGCCTCAAAGCTCAATCAAGCTCGTCCCGAACACGGGGAGCCGGAACAGAGGATGGAGCTTTTCCCCCTTCCCGCCTCTCGCCTCGCCGCCGTCTCCTCCTTTCGTCCCGCCAGGATTGTAATTTTCTGGAACACGGGGCAATCGTGATGATTTGGGAAATCTCGCCGGTGACCATGCCAACCGACGGGGCAGAGATGCAAAGACGGACCTGCTCCCGCTCCCATTTCGACGCGATGACAAAAAGGCCAAACCAGCAGCTTGTCGCAACGCGACAATCAGTGGAGTGGCCCGACCCCGAACGATACACTGCAATCCGCCGCAACCTACAGATACCGAGAATTATGATCGATTTTGCCTGGGGCCCATCTGTGGAAGACGTCTGGAACATGTTGTTGCATGCACCTTCTGCAACAGACCCCCGCCTTCCCCCTCTCCGATGCCTCTGCGAGATTTCTGGTCGTCCAGAGCCACAGGACAATCACGGGAGCTTGGGCTAGCTTGTTACCTAGCTGGGCTTTGACGTTGTCTGGGACGATCTGGATCCATTCTCGGTTGTTAAGTTGGATACATACTTTATGCCGTGATTTGGCTTGATGCCACTTGTATGCCAAGCACACAGCCTACATGATGGAAATCAGGGTGTCAAGGTGGTGGCAGCAACACCAACGACGTTGAAGCAAGCAGAACCACCCTCCAAGCGTGTTGCAGCGCCGTAACGCGACGCACGCGGTAGTCACTTCAACTGGCCTCTGGCTGCCGCTCGGCGCCTCTCGCTCAAAGCAGCTTGTCCTCTCTCTATCCCAGGGAAATGATGTTTGCTGACCCCCGCCCACCGAATATCCTTTTTCATCCATTTTCCCCTCCCCCTCCCCCTCACCTAATTCCACGGGTCTGTCCTTAGATTAGGGCCCAAATAGGATCCGGCATCCTTGAAAGGAGCTTTGATGAAGGAAGACGATGATCGACAAGCCACGAGGAACGTGGAAGTTAGACACCACGTCCAACACGCTTCCACCGAGCTGTTTCACGGATCCACTTGATGCATAAGGTCTACGGTGCACAAATATTTATCCCAATATCCGAGTGTCACTTGTTATGGAATAATCCGGGCTCTTTGGCTCAAACGGTTGCTTAGTCTGTTCATGATGAATTCTTTGATACAGCTGGTTGATCTTTGATACAGCCGGTTGATGAAATGACATGGGATGTAGGCTTGTTTTGAAGACCTCCATGCAGAAAAGCCAACAAGTCTTGGATGGCCCTGCTTTAGCATAGGTGCTGCCGTAGGTGCCTCGCGTTACCTCTCCCGTTCTAGGGTGATGAGAGGGTGGTGGCATCGCCCTTGCGATGTCTCTAGTGTCACCAGCCTTACTGAAATATTCAAGCCATCGTCAGCTTTACTGCCCCTTGCCTCGATAGTTGCCTCGATGCGACCTCTTTCCTGCGATCTGATGACTCGACCAGTTGATCTGAGACTTGCATACAAGTGGCAGGTCATGACAGCATTTCACCCACACTCCAGCCGAGCAAGATGGTGGTTCGGTCCGACACTCTTATCTTTAGCGAACATATGTCACAGGGCCATTCATCTTCAATATCTGCATCAATAGGGCCCCTCTGCTCTTTCGGCCACTGATACATCTTCTTTGCATGGCCGATAACTCCAAACGTCCTGCTCATGCAGCCATCAATGGCTGCACCCTCAGATGCAAGTCTTTTCCAGCCTAGCATCGTTGTACCACGTGGCAACCATCACATGGACCTGCCCTTTCCTGCGCGCCCCTCGCAGTCCAAGTCCGGAATGCATCGGTCTTTCAAGAACTGCAGGTAACCGGCCGCCAGCCAGCGACCCGGGCCCGATAAGACGGGCTGGCTAATCGATAAGGTGGCTTCGTCTCTTTGTTCGGGACGTTAAGGTAGCTGGGACCCTTCAGGTTTCCGATCGCCAACCGTTTGGGAGCGCCGATAACCGGCCCCACTTTATTTTATGTGCGCTCGTCCGTGTGCCGCGCAGGAATTTTCGACCGTCGCGACGTCTTCTCTCTTGTTTTCCCTTTCCCTCTTGGAGCTGTATCGTTCCCTCGCAAGAGCTTTTCTTCCCAGACAAGCCCTCGCGAGCTCCTTCCCGACCGTCGAAGCGAATCGCAGGCCTCAACGTTTTCGAATTCAACCATCCGAATCGCCGTCCCCCACGTTTTCGAGCGAGCAACCCCCAGCGTGGACCCTGTTCCGCTGCTAAAATACCCCGCCATCGGATACCCCGCCGAAGCTATCACGGCCACCCGAACTCGACAAAATGTGTGGAATCAGTGGCATTTGCATGGGTCATTATGACCGGGACGACGAGGATGGTTCTTGCGACGCCGCTCAGGATCTCCACGAGTCCCTTTACTACCTACAGCACCGTCGGTTCCCTCCTCCTCAACCGACTGGCTTCCCCCACGGTCACGAAACTGACATGAGTGGTCGCAATAGGTGGTCAGGATGCGGCAGGAATCGCCGTCTGTTCCGAAGGCGGAAGGATATACTCGTGCAAGGACAACGGAATGGCGTCGAAAGTGTTCAACGACGGCAAGAGAGTCGTTGATCTCCACGGTTGGATGGGAATCTCTCATCTGAGATACCCGACGGCGGGAAGCTCGAGCAAAGCGGAAGCGCAGCCATTGTGAGTCCCCACGAATACGAACGAGGTCAAACTATTTCTAACTTCATGTGCCTACAGCTACGTCAATTGTAAGATTGGAAACCTACCTGAAGTTGCGGACTCTGCTAACCTCACTCGCCTCCAGCTCCGTAAAGCACCCCCTCCCGATCAATCTATTTCCCAGTCTCGACTATCCCCCCTCTTCACATTGCAAACTCACTCCGGATACTTCGGGATATCTGCTGACATCAGCAAGGTATGGAATTTGCTTGTCGCACAATGGCAACCTGATCAACGCGGCTGAGCTTCGGTGAGTAGTCGGACACACAGTGACGATACTGAATACCTTACTAATGTCCCGAAAGTGAATATCTCGACAAGACGGCGCACCGTCACGTCAACACCAGCTCCGACTCCGAACTCATGCTGTCCATCTTCGCCAACGAACTCAACGAGACCGGAAAGGCCCGCATCAACGAGATCGATCTGTTCAGTGCGCTCGAGCGCACCTACAAGCGCTGCCGCGGTGCATGGGCTGCTGTTGTCATGATTGCCGGCTACGGCATCTGCGGTTTCAGAGATCCCGATGGCATCAGACCTTTGGTGTGGGGCCGCCGGCCTTCTGCTACTCTGGAGGGAGCTTACGATTACATGCTGGCCTCCGAGTCTGTCGCCCTCCGCCAGCTGGGCTTCCGGGACATCACAAACGTCCTGCCAGGCCAGGCCGTCCTCTTCAAGAAGGGGTCGACCCCTGTGTTGACGCAAATTCAGGAGCCTGCTGGATATACGCCGGATGTCTTTGAATATGTGTAAGTCATTGTATTTCTGCTTATCCTTGGGGCTTGTTTGCCTCCAGGGCACTGCTGCCCCACCCTACGGGCTGTGGAAGGAAACCAAGGAGCTGACTCAGTACCAGCTACTTTGCGCGCCCAGACAGCGAGATCGACGGCATCTCTGTTCACAAGTCAAGAGAAAACCAGGGTATCAAGCTGGCAGACAAGATCAAGAGAACGCTTGGTGAAGAGGCCTTGAAGGAAATTGACGTTGTCATTCCCATCCCAGAAACATCAAACACGGCAGCTGCAGCCCTGGCAACAAGGCTTAACAAGCCCTTCTCCAGCGGTTTTGTGAAGAACAGGTATATTCCTTCTTTCCATGTTGAATTCGCAATAGAGTTGGTGCTGACAAGAGTGAATTAGATATGTCTTCAGGTATGTGAACTCACGAACAAAGCAATTAAGCATGGGCTGACAAGGGGACAATAAGAACCTTCATTATGCCTGGTCAAAGCGTACGTCTATCACTTTTAGCTGGGGTTCGAAGCAGAGCTGACATCCAGTAGGTCCGTCAAAAGAGCGTGCGCCGCAAACTCAGCACAATTGAATCGGAATTCAAGGACAAGTGTGTGTTGTTGGTTGATGACAGTATTGTATGTTGAGTGGTCGTCTTCCACGCAAAGCAGTGCTGATATGCTGGGTTCCCACAGGTGCGAGGAACCACTAGTCAGGAGATTGTCCTCATGGCCCGTGAAGCCGGTGCCAAGAAGGTCATTTTCTCCAGCTCAAGCCCAGAGATTTTGTAAGGCTTGATCAAATGTTGGTATCACCAGTTGAAAAACACCCTAACAGATTGGACAGGCATGAGCATCTCTACGGCATCGACCTGGCGAGCAAGAAGGACCTGATTGCCCACGGAAAGACTACCGACGAGATCGCAGCGCACATTGGCGCTGACAAGGTCATCTACCAGGACCTCAAGGACCTCATCGCTGCCTGCGCCGAGCTGTCTCCCCGCGATCCCACAACGCAGAACTTCGAAGTCGGTGTCTTCAACGGCTGTTACGTCACCCCCATCCCCGAGGGCTACTTGGAGCATCTCAGCGAACTCCGCAGTGGCAACAAGAAGCGGAAGCATCGGGGACCGCTTGTGGCCAGCAGCGGCCCCACGCTCGACGCCCCCGCGGATGCCCCTGCTGCGAAGGCGGCCAACATCAATGGACTGGCTTCCCGTGCACGCGCTGAGCCGCGGTCTCCTGGAAGGAGCGCAGACATTGGGTACGTTTCTTCTTGGCCTCGTTATCGCCTTGGTGCATCTCTAACATTGAATGACAGAATCCACAACGTCGCAGGTGAAGAGGAAAACTAGACAGGAAGATGCTCACGCATAACCACTTGGAACAGTACAGAGATGGTCATACAACAAAACAAAAAATAGACGAGGCGTTGCGGAAGGTAGGGAATCATCGTTTGCATTATCGCCTCTGAGGAATGAGTCGCTTGGAGTACTGTTCCCGCTTGGTCTGGCATCTACAATAACTGCACACGATCGTCTTGCACATAGCTCATAGAGAGTGACGAGAATTGACCATCTCGCGTTGGCTTACTGCTCCACTTGTTTGTTTCGACCATCAGAGTCCCGATAATGGCATGCCAGCGGAGGATGGCCTGCATAAAACAACGGAATATTCGGTTTGATTCATATGTGAAGAACAAGGATCCAGGTATGGCCGTAGGATAGGGCACCCCACATCGAGCATGAGAAGCACCGGAGGATCATCACTCTCTTCCTCAGCCAAGTCGGCGCCGCAACGGGCACAACGGTGCAGAACGGTGGTGGAACACGTTGGCGCCCAACACTATCGACCAACGGACCAACGCCGTCGCCGTCGAGGATCGCTCGAGATCGGAGCGTTTAGGCCGTCGGTCGACTCCTCTCGTTCCCACTGCTGAACCCAGCGTCGCAAGCCGTGATGTAGCGGCGCACGGCTCTCTCGTCCCGCGATTCATATTTCAGCCTTCATCCCAGGCCGGCCCATGAAGCGGAACCTGCTCCAAAAAGAAAATCATTCAGCCGGGGCGCGGGCTTCGAAAGGAGAGAGCAGCCAGCCAACCGGCACATCCGCGGTGCAAGCGCATTTGGAATGACAGCCAAAGGTGGGGTTCTTGGGACAGGGAAACGTCTGTGCAGAAATACGGACCGGCGAGATGAGAAGTGAGTGAAGCCAAAAAAGTTATCACCCACCACCCCTGGTGATTCGTGAAGTTGAGTGCATGACAAGGGGACCTGCAAAATGACCAGCGTCGGGGATCTCTGGTGCCCATCTTCCAGCCTTGGCGCAGCAGCACAAGAAAGAAAACAGCAGGAACGGCGGTAGCTCTCCATTTTGACGCCCCCATCGGCTGCTTCGACCTGGTCCGCGGGCCCTTCTGCGTCCGGTCAAGACCAATAAATCACCCAGTCGAGGAGGATCTCGTCCAGGGCGGCTGGCCTTCTTCGACGGTTGCTTGGGCGGGCAAGGGGGCATGAGCTTGAGCAAGGGGGGTGCCTACCTAGCAGGTGAGGCGGCATAGGCATGGCGCTGTCCTGTGCTGGGTTCATGGCTGGCGGCGCTATGCAAAGCTCAGGAGCGGCTTTATGCCTCTAGGGAGCCTCTGGGTAGAGGTCCCTTGGGTTTGCCCGCCTGTTCCCCGCGCGTCGAGTATGGGAAGATATGCCGCCAAATTGCCCATGCGACGCGTGCATCAGCGCCCAAAATGCTGACGGGCAACCGCATGAATTTGCGAAAGTTCAGGCGGGTGGTTTTCCAATTCCCCAGATGCACTCGGTGCCGCGTTTTGGACCGTGTCTCCAGGGTCCTCCTGAGGTTAACCACCTTCCATCAACTGAGGTTGTGGCCGCACCATCACGGCGAACTGACACCACCAAATCTTGCCCCTCCTCACCACCCTACCCTGTTCCGCTGAGATACAAACAACCATGCCGTTTGAATATGTTGGGGGCTGGTTTAATATGCCCTGCCGCCTTCGAATATTACCGTTGCAAGGGGGGAGTGCTCAGAGCTATGGCCCTCGTTTTCGATTACTGAAGGCACCTTAGAGAGAGATGGACTCTGGGTCGGCTCTGTTTCCACCCCCTTTTTTCCGTAAGGGGGGGACGTGCGTGCGTGCTGCCGGGCTTCTTTGCGTCTCGTGGAAACAGCCAGGGCCCCAATTCGAAGGGTGCGCATGGGCTGCGACGACGCGTAAACGAGTTTTTCTGGAAGCTCTTGGCCGTGCTTCCACGGCCGGGGGTCGATGCGAACCCCTGCCGTCTCAAAGTCCGCTCCCGTGAAGTCTTTTGCTCCGGGCCTCGGGTCTCTCTTCTGGCCCCCGCCTTTCCTTCGAGTCTGACAGCTTGTATCCGCCGCTGCTTGCTTCACATGTGTCACTCTAATGCGAGGCATTCCGCACGGCTGTATTTGAGACGGAGGCGAGCCCGGGCTGACACTCCGTTCCTTCGGGTCGGAACTGACAGACACTATTGAGGAGGAGGAGGAGGAGGAGGGGCAGCTCTTGGGCGGCCTGCCGATCTTGGTTTGGCACGAAGACGGACGATGGCAATGGGCAATTTCGGGGTTTGGAAAGAGAATGGCTGGATACCTACGAATATGGGTGTGTGATCTCGTGAGAGAGGTGGATGTCTCTTTTTTGCCAACGATGCATGGGTCTTGATCAGGCTGCTGACTCGGCGGAGATTCACGATGTCGTGCTGCCGTTGCCGCATGCATCTGTGCATATTACACACCTGCCTGCCTTGCCTGGGTCTGCACTGCACTGCACGGCCAGAAAAGAACAGAGTTCTGACTATTCCCTCGTTTCTCGTTTTCCCATCCTGTGGCGGATTGCACATGTCAGGACCCCTGAACTTCAACGGAAATTTTCCCTCACTGTTCGTGCTGCGGCTTTCCTGCGCTGCACCCACCCACTTGGACGCTAGACGTTGGGAAAGAATGCTGGTGTGTTTGACAGGGGGAGGGAGCGAATCTTCGCAGCCGCGTGCCAGCCTGCCAGCCTGCCATCTCCGAAGGTGTCTGATGGGTGTGGTTCGTTGTCGTGAGTTACCACGAAGTTGGAACCGCCGATCCGGAGCCGCCGTGAGGTCCCGAGTGGGAACATGTTCCCTCATGTTTCTGATCCGCGAGGCTTGCTGGGACCCTTTGTAGGTTTTTTCCGGCGGACCACAAGCCGTTTTCCGCGATACCCTCCCAACCCAGCCTGGAATTGGTGTTTTGGGCGCGTGTATCCGCAGCGGCGGCGGCGGCGGCCGTAGGGTAGCATCTGAGATGGAATGTTCCTTTAGCACGTGTTGTCAGCTGTTCAGAGTTCTCGGGGGCCATGTTTCGCGCGCCGGTGTACACGAGATGAGCTGATCTCGTTTCTGAATCGCCCTTCGCCCGTGAGATGGCACTTTGTTGGGAAAAAAGGGAAATCGGTGGTGCAGCTCACTGTCCCCGGTGAGTTCTAGCGTGTGGGGTTTCTTCTCTGCTGTTTCTGAAGATCCTCTCCGGTGAGCAGACCCATGTGGTGAACCACCCCCCGGGACGCAGTGGGATTTCTTTATGAAATATTGACTGCACCCACCGTCGACTGGACAACGGGTAATCACGCTAAATTTGCAGTGTTGCATAAGGATTGGGTTATTCGGGGGTAGATATGCAGGCAGGCCTGAGCATTCCAGCCCGTTGGTTGTGGGATCCGCCTGTGCATGAGGCTCAAGTGGGCATCAACTACACTGCTGTCTTCGGAGATGGGCCAGGTTGGTCCAGAGCTAGACGACTGAGACGGGAGCGGCTCACAGGCTCACGGCTCGTTCTTCATCATGCTTGAGATTTTGATATGCTCGGTGGGAGCTTGGAAGGTTGACACTTGGGCAATTGGTATCAATGCTAGAGCACTCGAGATCAAGACAGCCGCAGCGAGATGGTGTCAGACGGCCAGGAAAACGAAAATCTCTGTTTTGATTGTGCTACAGAAACCATGTTTTGTAGCTTTGTATTCGTCGTTATCTCTAAAGTTGTCTCTATTGTTGTTCCTGTCGTCTCTGTCGTCGTCTCTGTCGTCGTCTCTGTCGTCGTCTCTGTCGTCGTCTCTGTCGTCGTCTCTGTCGTCGTCTCTGTCGTCGTCTCTGTCGTCTCTATTATTGTCGCTATCTTTCTTGTTATTGTCGTTCCTGCCACCGTTATCATTTCCGCCGTTATCCCTATCCATACCTAGTACCTTTATCAACTCTCTCAGCCTTAGCATTCGAAATATAATCATACTACCATACATATATACAGTAGGCAGTTATATAGAATAATTGAACTGAGAGTTATATAAAGCTACACATAAGTATCAGAACGACGTCAGCAGTTGAGAAAACACGGCGCTATAAACATTATATTACTTCAGAAGTGGTGTTCTTGGACAGGGCCCTCTACCCTTACTATCAGCAGCAAATACCACTAGTGTAAGCTGCTGGTATATGCTGGTCTTACTGGCTCTTCAAATGACTGCTGGGTATTGGAACAGACTTTCGCTGCATATAGCATGGGTGAAGGCTGCAAGACATGTGACCAGTAACTTTGAGGCTTTCAATATCACGACATTCTTATTTGAACGTGGGACAGTTCTATAGTAATATCTATGGATTGCTTGATTCTCATTCACCACCAATGAAGTTGAGCCCGGTTAAAGCACCGACTCTGTTGTCTCGTTGCTCATCAGTGTGCAAACGGTCTCAGGCTCGAAGAAAGGGCACTTGACTGAGTGTGATAAGGCACTTCTTTCTTCCTACCTGCTCGGGGAACTAAAGTGAAACCTTCTCGATTTTCTGGAAAGAGAGTAGGAAGGCACCTGCCTCTTTTGATCCAGGCGGTCTTGCTCGTGGGCTGCTGCCTCCACGGTCTATTTAATCCTCATCTTTCTCCCACACTTGCTTCTAACTCAGACTTTCTCCCCTCAACCCACCACACAGGACACTACTCTTTCCTTTCAACATCCAGTCCTACCTTGGACATAGCCTTGACCTACCTGCCCACAAACAACACATATCTGCTTACCTCTTCACTGCCCAGGTACAAAGGCCGGATACCGCCAGCACTCCTCGACCTCTTCCACAACTTCCCTCTCAGACTCGAGCAACCAACTCATCTAACCAGCTTCCTTGCAGAACCGAGTCCCTCGCCAAGCAACGCGCTCCTGCCTTCTTTTCTTCTGGCTCTCTGTTTCTCGAGCCTGAACTGGTCCTTCCCCCTCTTCACACCCCGCCATCGGCAGGCCTACCACGCTCGATTCTTCCTTCCTTTCTCTGTCTCCTTCCCCCACCAAATCTTTTCGAGCTTCCTT